GGCTTGGCTTGATCATCGACTTACCACCCCCATCGCTCGTGGTCACAAGCTTGATTCCAAGTTAGGTGCTCAATTCATATCATCCAAGTGGCGAGAAAAGTGGTAAAATTGAGTTGCGTCGTGCCGCGACGTTAAATGCGGCGCTTGGTGGGAGGCAACCCATAGTTTTTCAAACTTTTTTTGGGTCATTTTGAAATTTTCTTTTTTAGAATAGCTTAGTATATTATTTTTGACTAATCTGCCAAGTTTTGGATTTTTTGGAGTTGAATTAAAGAGTTCGAGATGTTGGAGTGCACAAAAACAGTGGCTGAAAATCTGTGCATTAATCTTCTGGTGTAACCGCATCTGCGGATTTTTGAATGCAGAAGCGGTTTTGACACCGCAGAAGCGGCAATTTCCGCAGAAGCGTGTCCTTGGCCACATATGCGGCGCCGCAGATGCGGTAATTTACCGTAGATGCGGAAATTGAGTGAGTTTAAAAAAAATAGAAGTCTCATTTCATCAGGCAAGAAGATACCAGTGGGGTACAAAGATGATAGCGAGGAGTATTCCTTCATGTCAGAAGCTGCTGGTGATGGTGATGGTGATGGTGATGGTGAGGATGATGATGAGGCTACGAGTTCAGCACAGCATTGACCAGCCGTCCTCCCACAGTCTGCTAGTCTGATGCAGACCTCAGGGAGACCCTCAAACTATTTATTCTTTATTTGTGATATTGTGCAGTGAGGACACTGCAATGTTTTTAGTTGGGGGTGGCTGTAGGAGTATACTGTATTCATATTATGATATTGTGTGCCCTTGCCGGGTTTATTTTGTTGTTATGGATTTTGTGTGCCCTTGTCAGGCTTACTTTGTTGTTTTGGATATTGTGTGCCCTTGCCGGGCCATTTTGTGTAGCAGGTGCTCTTGCTGAGCTTGTTGTGATTACTCTTTTTTTAGCTTTCTTTCGTTATTTATTTTCTTTAGCGGCTTGTTGTTATTTGTATTAGTCCCTTTTAACTTAGTATCCTTTTTAGTAGTTTTGTTCTTTGAGTTTTTTTTCTTAAGTAGTATTTCCTTGGATTTTCTTCATGCTACGGTTCTTTCCCAACGAATATTTTTTTGAAGTGAACCGGGTGACGTTTCCCTATGATAGATGGCGTGACAACTTTCTTAAGGGAATTAGTCTTGTTTTGCTAGGAGGAGACTTTTGGATTATTTGTTACTAATAAAATTAGTCTCTTGTATGTGAAATGTGAATTAAGAATACCCCTCCGAATTATGATTTTGAACTAAAACAAGTAAGTTGCATGGTGAAGAATAATTTTTGTGATAAATTTTTGGCTCTTTTAGTGACTCTTTGCCAACTAATTTGAATAATATTGCTTTAGATGCTCTTATAAGAAAATGAAATTGATCCATCTTGATTAATTCATGTGCCATGTGTGTTAGTGTTTGTACAAATAAATCTTGTGTTTACTTCTATCATCTAGAACTTGTCCGGTTGGTCTTTTAACGCTAATGATAGTATGTTTGGTTGGAGGGATGATCTTAGGCATTCTTTGTGTTATTTGCAAAACCTCTTTAGCCTTTCAAGCCTACCATTGCATAAATAATATCACTAGTACCCTATTTGAGCCTTTAACCTTTTCTTTGGCCACCTCATTACAAACCTTTCCCCTTTTGTAAAATAATTCCCTCTTTTGAACCCGTCCCTCATTGAACATTGAGAATGAGGCGAAAAGCCTAAGTTGTGGGTGTGGTGTCAAAGTGGAAATTTGTAAGGTTGTATATTGAGTGTAGGAACATATACCTCAAAGAGTTCATATTAAATTATTCAAGCTCCAAAAGAAAAATATGTATATAAAAAAAAGAGAAATATATGTATGTATATAATTATGGAGCCTTGAAGAAAATTAGAAAGGTATTCAAGGTGGTTCTATGTTGGTAACTAGATGCCAATGAAGCTATGTGGTTTGAAAAGAAACAAAGTGCAAAAAGAAAGACAAATGTGAGTAGTATTCAAGGAGGGTGAAGTCACTTGTATCCAAATTCTTATCCGACCCTTCCCTAAACCTACATTACAAGCTTAAAAAGTCCTTATGGAACCTCCAACCAAATGTTCTTGATTAGGCGATAAATTAAAATAAGGGCAAGCTTATGGTATGAGATGTTGTAACACTTGAAATTCTTTGTGAGAGTGAGTGTCTTTGTAAATTTGTCCCTTATGTTGTATTGTAAATATAGTGATTTTGGGACTTTCTTTCTTGTGAGGACACATGAATTAGGAAGGATTGGTAAAATTGAGTAAGTTGAGCATATGTAGTGGACTAGTGCTTTTGAGTCATTTCTTGAGGCTAACACTTGTCACTTGATTATTTTGAAACTCCCTTGCACATTCTTGAAGTTGTTCTTAAATGAGGGAGTTATTCGGGTAAGATGCACATACTTGAGCCTAATTGTTAGTACCAACCAAATCCATAAGTATGGTGCTTAATTGGAGAATGTGATTTCTAAAAAAAATAGCAATACTACTTGTGTTTTAAATGGTAAAGCCTCATGGAAGTGTTGGTTTTGATTTGCTTGAGGACAAGCAAAAGCTTTAAGTTGGGGGTGTTGATGAGTGGTGATTTTACCACTCATTCTAGTCTCTTTTCTTTAGCTTTTATGTCCTTTACCTATAATATGAGGTCGTTTATGGTATGTATTGTTAGATTTTCAGGCAAATGATGCCATGAAGTGATTTGAATTCAATTGGAGTGGAATTGAGCAAAAAAAGGGTGAAAACCATGCAAAACTCCCCTGTGATTCTGCATCTGCGGAAGGTTGGTCGTAGAAGCGACTTCGCTTCTGTGTGAGAAGTCCCGCATCTGCGAAAATGGGCGACCTTGTAAGATACCACATCTGCGGTTGGATTACCGCATCTGCGGTTGCGCATCTGCGCTTGGAATACCGCATCTGCAGTGGAAAAGATTATTCGACATTTCGCTTCTGCGATAGGCTCTCCGCATCTGCGGTACCGCACTTGCGAGTATTCTTCTGCAGGTTCGGTCAACGGGCATCACAACTGGGCAAATTAGGCATTTCACATGTTCTCATTCCAAAACCCACAAATACTCGACCTAGCAGATCTTTTGGAGGATCTTTGGCATATTTGCAGTTCTTAGACTTAGAGAGAACAAGTTTGGAAGCTAGGGTTAACACACACACTTGGTCTTGAAGATTTGAAGCTTGTGGTTAGGAGTAGCAAATGAGCGGGTCGGGTCGTATATGGTTCGGGTTGGAAACGGGTAATGAAAAAACGGATCAATTATTCGACCCGACCCATATTTAATACGGATAAAAAACGGGTTAACCAGCGGATAATATGGGTTACCCATATTATCCATGACTTCTTGTATATGATCACTTTTGGGAGAATTCTTAGTCTCTCTAACTTGAGAAACCCCCAATTTGAAGCTTTACCAATGTAAAAGTTAGACTCACTGGTTATCCATTTTCTAAATGGATAATATGGTTCTTATCCATATTTGACTCGTTATTAAAAAGTTCATTATCCAACCAATTTTTTAGTGGATAATATGGGTGGTTAACTGTTTTCTTTGAACCATTTTGCCACCCCTACTTGTGGTTAAGGATTTCTTACCTATTTATGTTTATTTCTTCATTTCTTTGCTTCGTAAATATTTAAGTGTGTACTATTTATTTCCAACACTTGAATCTTGTTTATGGAAATATTCATAGTTAAAGTTTGGATTAAATACCTTGTTGTGCTTATGTATTGAATGATTTTCATTTATTTATGAAGTGAGTTATTGTTACTTTAATTATTCTTGTTCTTTAATGTTTCCAAAGGGATTAGCTAACCCTAGGACTCGCCCATTAACTCCGAATTAATTTTGGAAAAGATAATTTTGGGGTTGGGAAAGATTAATTAACAAGAACTTGAGGCATTAACCATCATTTTATAGATTCTACCTAGGGATAGGATTGAACTACTTGTAGCCATATCCAGGAGTGCTTAATCTCTTAATTGTTTTAGGGATACTTCAATTAGGAAGTCTTGTTAGTCTTTGGAAGAAGGAAATATAGAATTATTACCCGTGGCTAATTAACATAAACTCGCTCATAATTATAAAATCATGAAATACATTGAATCGTTATTTGAGTGTAATTCCCGATGCATCCATACTTGTAGCCATTGATCATTTTACTTGCTTTCTAGGTTAGTTTACATTTCCGCATTTAGGTATATATATTTTCTCAAACCAATTCTAAGTGTTTGGCATTGCGCGATAAGTGATAGTTCTCTTCCATTCCTAATCGCCTATATATTGTTATCTGTGGGATTCGACCCCGACTCATAGTTGGGTAAATTATATTGCATGCGACCGTGTCCATTTATTTTTTAATAGTGGATTTGGACGTCATCGGTTGGTGATGTGACTATCCAACTTGTACCTAGGAAAGAAAATAAGAAGGTTGATTATTTAACTGCCATAGCTTCATAGTTAACCCTGCCTGATCAAGCACAAGTTACTATTTGCCAAAAAGGGATAGTACCGCTGCTAAATGAGGGTGAAGGTGAAGAAAATGAACTCGAGCATCTGGTCGCTATTTCTGAAGCTGAGAAGGAAGAATGGCAATAACCCATTATCGACTACTTAAGCTATCGGATACTTCCAGAAAATTCGAGGAGAAAAACTAAAATTCGTCGTCGTGCACCTCTATTTCTTCACTATAAATATACCCTATAAAGGAGATCATTCTAGAGAGTATTGTTGCGATTCTTAGGGGAAGATGAAGCATACCAAGCATTGTAAGAAGCACATTTTAGGGTATGTGCGTCACATTAGTCTGGACCACAGCTCCAATTCCATATAAAAGGGATGGTATATTATTGGCCAATGTGGTAAAAGATTGCTCGGACTATGCTCGAAGATGCAAGGCTTGCCAGTTCAATACAAATTTTATTCATCAGCCTCCAGAAGTGTTGCACCCGACTGTTGCATCCTTGTCGCATGACGATTGGGGATTGGATGTTGGACTACTGCCAAAATCCTCTGGTGGGCACTTGTAACATCTTGGCCGCAACTGACTACTTCCTAAAATGGGCTGAAGTCGTTGCCCTCGAGGAAGTAAAGAAGGAGAATGTTGCAAACTTCATCCGAGTGAGTATCATCTATCGCTTTGGCATTCCTTGTTACATAATATTAGATAATGGCAAGCTATTAGACAACAAGTTGATGAACAAGATTTGTGATCTCTTTTTCTTCAAGCAACATAACTCTTCTATGTACAATGTTGTCGGCCTAGCCGAGGCATTCAATAAGACTATATGCAACTTGTTCAAGAAGGTTGTTTCCAAATACAAACTAGATTGGCATGATCGTATGGAAGAAGCTTTGTGGGTGTACAACTCACCGCACACCGATACAAGCAACTCCTTAGTCACTTGTCTATGGAATCGAAGCCGTTTTTCCACTCGAGCGTCAAATACCTTAATTACGATTAGCTATCCATGAAGGGATCGAAGGAGGAACACATAATAAGAACACCAAGGAAACGATGCAAACAAACACAAGTGATGTAAATGAAAGACAACAACAAGAATCACGTCCGAGGTACCGCCTCGTATCTCATTTGACAATCACAATCACAATATTTCCTTATATCACCACGGGAGCCTTATATTTAGTTTTGATATTCATTTTCCCGAAATAGGTACTCGCATTTTAACCCACCTTATCACACCGCTTGGCTTCAAGTAGTAGCCCCTACTAGCAAACCGTGTATCAAGCCCACCTTATCTCATTGCATGCGTAACAACCCAAATCCTTATACCACTGCATGTGTATCAATATCACATGTCACGACCTGAATTTCCCACCCTCGGGAGTCGTGATGGCGCCTACTCGTAGTAGCTAGGCAAGCCAATTTAATTACCTTTCCGTTAATAAACAAATCTTTTAACAATTTGTGGCAACAATATAAAACAACAAAATTAAATAATAGCGGAAGTCTTAATTATAGAAACTGAATAAAACACGGAGTAGTCAATATAAGCCTCTACCCAAGACTGGTGTCACAATGCTCACGAACTACTAAGAATATCTAAATACAAGGGCCTGAAAGATCACATAAGCTGTTTGTCTCGAATACGAAGAGGCAACAGTCTAAAAGAGAGAATAAGAGAGAGACGCCGGGCCTGCGGACGCCTGCAAGGCTACCTCGGGTCTCACGATACTGAAAGCCTGCTCCCGTGCTAAAGCTGCTACTGCTGCTCGAAAGCTGGACCTGTGCAAAAAATGCACAGAGTGTAGCATCAGCACAGCCGACCCCATGTGCTGGTAAGTGTCTAGCCTAACCCCGGCAAAATAGTGACGAGGCTAGACCAGACTATCACATAAACCTGTGCAATTTCATATATATATATATATATATATACAGCGGAATCGAAATACAAAATAGATAAACAATATGGGAGGGGAAACATGCTGTGGGGAGTATAACAATTTCCAAATAAGAGTCGTCCTGTAATAAGCAATACATCACAGCTCAATAATAGATAATGAAACAAAATTCAACCAGTGCACGGCATCACCCTTCGTGCTTTTACTCTCGTCCTCACCAAGCAATAACATGTGCACGGCATCACCCTTTGTGCTTTTACTCTCATTCCTCACATATATCAATAAAATCGACACGGAATGGTACATCGTGCGGCATGGCATGACCCTCCGTGCTTTAACACTCTTTCTCATAGTAAGCAACAATGCACGGCATCACCCTTCGTGCTTTACACTCTTTCCTTACCATAAACAAACAGTGCACGACATCACCCTTCGTGCTTTAACACTCTTCCTCACCCAATCAGCAATCACAAACAAGGGCAAGGGAATAAATGAACAATAACGAAAATCCCGGCAAGGGAACATAAACAACAACTAGAAACCCGGCAAGGGTACAATATCAGTACCCAACAACGTCCCGTCAAGGGAAATAATCATTAATTCTTTTCTTTCTTTCACTTTCATCTCATAGTTCACATTATCTCTTGAGCCCATGCTCCAAAGAGTGACTTATCTCATATACCTTCACAATTTGCATTTCAACCCGAGCCAATGCTCCACGAGGTTTCAAGATCACAATTCCTTTCACAAGGTCTTTACAACATATAGAAGTCATCATTTAAGCATGGAAGGCATAACAACAACCAACTATTCACAAATTAGGACTCACGGACATGCTAGACACCAATGTATAGATACTCGTCACCATGCCTATACATCGTACTCAACAATTAGCAAGTTACAAGTAAGACTCAACTCCTATTCCCTCAAGCTAGGGTTAAACCAAACACTTACCTCAAGGCCTTCAATTCAACTCAAGCCTCAACTATGGCTTTACCTCGAAGTTCCACCTCCAACCCGCTCGAATCTAGTCACAAATTACTTAATTACATTAATAAACACTAAATGAATCAATTTGAATGCATAAAAATGAATTTCCAAAATTTTTCCCAAAAATTCCAAAATCGCCCCCGGGCCCACATGGTCAAAACCCGAGGTTCGAACCATAACCCGGTTACCCATTCCCCCACGAACTCAAATATGCAATTTGTTTCAAAATCGGACCTCAAATTGAGGTCCAAATCCCCAATTTATAGAAAACCTAGGTTCTACCCGAAATCCTCAATTTCACCCATGAAAATCATTGATTTAAGTTGAAAACATGTTAAATGATGTTAAAGATTGAAAGAAATGAGTAAAACCCAACTTACAAATGATTTAGGATGAAGCTTGTTCTTGAAAAATCGCCCAAGGAGTTGTGTTTTGAAAGTGGGGTGAAAAATTGTCTAAAATTCGACTAAGTATAAAATATGCAGGTTGCAGATGTGGGAATTGTGAACTGGGGTTCGCAATTGCGAACCCCGACCTGCTACTTTGGGAATTGCAAACAAAAATTCGCATTTGCGAACAATGGCATACTTGGGGACTTCGCATTTGCGAACAAAGGTGTCGCATTTGCGAAAGTCCCAGCTTTCGCATTTGCGATGCTGTGATCGCATTTGCGATCCCTGTGCAATGTGAGCACCTTCGCATTTGCGAAGGATTTTTCGCATTTGCCAACTCGCAAAATGCGAAGCCTGCAGGTCAGATCACACCAGCAATTTTCCAAGTTCAAAAATGCACTCCGTGGCCTATCCAAAACTCACCCGAGCCCTCGGGGCTCCAAACCAAATATACACACAACCTCAAAAACATCCTTCAGACTTACTCGCGCGATCTAATCGTCAAAATAACATCATATACATCGAATTAAGCCTCAAAACTCATGATTTCTTCCAAATTTTCATAAAACATCAATTTTTCCATTTTAAGTCCGAAATACGTCAAACGACGTCCAATTTCAACCAAACTTCACAGAAAGTGCTTAGACCATATATAAGACTTGTACTGGGCGCCGGAACCAAAATACGGGCCCGATACCACAGTCTTTTAATCAAATTTCATTTCCAATTTCCTTAATAATTTCAGAAAAATAATTTTACTCAAAAATTCATTTCTCGGGCTTGGGACCTCGGAATTCGATTCCGGGCATACGCCCGAGTCCCATATTTTTCCACGGACCCTCCGGGACCGTCAAATCACGGGTCAAGGTTTGTTGACCCAAAATGTTGATCGAAGTCAAATATATTCATATTAATATCAAAATTTAGCATTTTTCACACAGAATTCATATTTAAGCTTTCCGGCTATGCGTCCGGACTGCGCACGCAAATCGAGCCCAAATGAGGTTTTCAAGGCCTCAGAAGTACGGAATGAATAAGAAAACAGGTAATGACCCTTTGGGTCGTCACATCACAACTCGCACCTCAAGTGCCCACATACCACAACTTGCCAAAAGAATCAAGAATAACAATATTTCAACAATATATAGCCCATGGCTCAACCACAATGTGTACAAGAGTCTCAACAATAGCAAGTCAGAGTGAATAGCTTAGTAAGAATAGTATTTCAACCATTTACAACTTTGCCTCAATGTGATCATGACTTTTACAACTTCAACACCAAAGCTCCACAATAAAATATTCCTAGAAATAACAACTTTATGTAAGGTAATTCAACAGTCAAATAATTAACAAATCTGTAACTTCAACTAAGCATGTAAGGGAAAATAACAAGTAAGAGATGGGACAAGTATTAACAATGTCAAATAAAGCATATGAGGATGGAGCAACGATCATGGATATAACATGTTATGACAATTCGATTAAAGGCATGAAAGAACCTACATAGCTTAAACCGATCAATTACCACATATAGCCAGTGTACCACTCGTTACCTTGCGTACACGACTTTCACGTACCACAAATAACACAAAACAACTCCAATCCTAAGGAGTAATGTCAGACTCCGAACGGCTCGAATCTAGCCAAAATAACTATATACCATAAATACAAACCATAGGTAACTATTTCGGATAATAAAGATGCAATCTTTAAAGAAAATCAAAACGTCAACTCAAAAAGTAAACCCCGAGCCCGCGTCTCGAAACCCGATGAAATATACAAAATTCAAACACCCGTTCAATAACGAATCCAACCATACTAATATTATTCAATTCCAACCTCAAGTCGACCTTCAAATCCTCAAAATATAGCTTATGAAGTTTTCACAAATTTCCCCAATTTTTCCCAAATCAAAACACTAATTAAATTGTAAACAATGATGAATCCATGTATAATAATCAAACTCGAGTTAAATTAACTTACCCCGATCAATTCTTTGAAAATATCTCTCAAAATCGCCCAAAATCGAGCGTTCTAACTCAAACTATGGATAATGAAATAAAACCCTCGATTTCTCTATTTCAGCCTAGCGATTATTGCTGCTGCGACCAATCTGCCGCCCATGGGACTCCACACCTATGGGAAAGCCATCGCAGGTGCGGCTACCACTAAGGCCCAGAGACCTCTAGTCCTGCGGACCAAATTCGCTCATGCAGTCTCGTTTCTGTGGACAAAATCTCGCTTCTGCGGTTGCCCGATTGCACCTGCCATTCTGAGGTAGTAGACCAAACTCTGCTTCTGTGGTCGAGCACATGTGCATGGACTCTGCTCCTGCTGTCACAGCCCACCAATGCCCAAACCTCTTCTACGACCCTATGGCCGCTTCTGTAGTACCGCACCTGCGGCCAAAACCACGCAGGTGCGATCACACTAGAACCTTCAAGATTTAGCAATTTCCTTAAGTCCAAACTAAATTCGATATGTATCTGAATCATACCCGAGGCTCCGGGGCTCCAACGAAACATGCCAACACATCCCAAAACAACAATTTTTTACACCCCTTGTTTTCGTACGTGAAAGTATGCCATATGTAAATATGTAAGCTCAAAAAGGATGAAATATAAAGTTTGGGAATAATTTGATTTATCTTACGGAAAAATCAAGTTACGATTTGCCTTGTAATGAGCTATTTTGAGAAATTAAATTCGTAAGCTTTATGATGTTATTTTG